TCTCCACAGTGGCTGCACCAGTCTGCATTCCCACCAGCAGTGCACGAGGGTTCCTTTTTCTTCACATCCTCGCCAGCACTTGTCATTTGTTGATTTGTTGATGATAGCCATTCTGACAGGTGTGAGATACTTCATTAAATGCTTTTCTGTCGCTTAGCTTTAACTCTAGTGAGAGTACTAACATTTATTAAGCATTTACTGTATACCAAGCCTTTTGTATTTAAAATACCTTCTAATAATTTGAGTCACCCTTTAGAGGTGTAGGGATTGTTATCCCAGTTTTTCAGAAAATCTCAGCAGTTGGCTCAGAATTGGAGGGTAGGATTAAATGGTGGATATGGGTGTGGGTCCAAGGTCAGTATGCTTTGCTGTTAACTGTATTCTGCTATTTATGAGACCATGGAAAGAAAAAGGAAAAAAGAGAAAATTGCATTACTTTTTCATTTACCCACAATTTATGTTCCATTTTCTGATATGAACCTTGCACTTCAACCAGATCTGCCTTTTCCCCCTTTTAGCTGCTTTCCAGTATTGAAGCTTGACTTATCCTGTCTGTGCCTGTGCCTGTAGCACCATCCTCTGGCCCCTCTCTCCTCATCCCATTGCCACCAGTGCTTCAGGTTCTAGCTTTGTTCATTTCCTGCATAAACATTCCCTTGTGCATTCTAACTTTTAAAAAAATTCTTTGGTTACTATTTTGACATTATATATTTCTGTTTATTATTACCACTAAGTAACATGTATGTATGTATGCGATTACCTAACTAGATCATCAGCTTCCAGAAAACAGCTACTCATATAATGCCTTTTGCATTGTTAATACATAGTAGGTCTTTAATACATTTCTCAAAATGTAAAAGGTTATATCTGTTTGCATGACCTCTGAGAGCCAAACAAGGCCAGGTTACAGATAGGCGGTAGGTAGTTTTGAAAGCATACTTTTTCAATTGGTCATTATTGAGTAATGTAAGACCATGCCAAACAAGTTTTCTGTCTGCTTGCTAGTGCTTTCTAAAGCCTTACTGGAAAGTCCAAACAGATGGACAAATCTGGAATGACTTAGTAGTTGCTTTGGTGTGCTGTGGGATATCTAGGGAACACTTAAGACTTGTTTTGCCTTTTATTTATTGCTTTGTTTAAGGTTTCTTAACAGAAAGACTCTGGGTCATGAGGAAATGCAACAGTGGGGGTGGGAAGGTAATAAAGAGGTACTTCAGATTTGCATTTTCTTTAAGAGATTTTCATTCTCTAGAGCCAAGACTTGTAATTTCGGTGAAAAATTGGTGCTTGGCCAAAAATGCCTGTGAAATAGCTATGATTTAAGCTTTAACTGTAAAGATAGGCGGGGTCGCTGATTTTAACAAGTGTTGTCTTCTTTATTCATGCTTTCTATTGTCACTGTCTTATCAAATATGAATAAAAATAAATGCTTTTGTTAAAAAGCATATGTACATATGTATATTTATATAATGTCTATGTGGATATGGGTATATACAGGGTGTCCCAAGAATTCTATACATACTTTAACAGTTGATAGCTCAATTTTGAAAATGAAATGTATTTTAATAAACACTGCCTTTATAATTACTCAAAGTGTGTGTATACATTTTTGGGGACACCCTATCTATGTGTGTGCATATGCATATATATCTCCCTGCAGTTATCCTTATCTATATGAAGGTATTTGATTTTAGAAAATGATTTGACAGGAGGCCAGACTATCCGCTTATCATTTCTAGGAAAAACATTCCTTGCCCTGTGGTGAATCCGAATTGCATTAACAACTGGTATGCATTTTCAGTACCATATTATTGTATAATGTACCTGATGCTACAATTGAGGAGATTAAAGAAATATAGAGTATAGTGGGTTGGTGAGGACCTTCTATACACACAGGACAGGGAAGGCTTTAGTTAAATAATGAGAATTTTTTTATTTTACTATAAATATATGTTAAAATTTTATTTGTAAATATATAGTATATAACAGAGTAAATTGAGGAACATATAAGAATTGTGTTCATGTAAAGAAGCAGTTTTATGCTTATGAAAACCTACATTGTAAAGTGGAGATTGGAATATCTAATTGTTGGGAAAATGGAGGCAGCTAGTGAAAGATTGGATATTAAGACTGTTATTTGTGACTTGGCCTTGTTTTGGCTCTCAGAGGTCATGCTGACTCTTAGATTAGAAATGCAGCCTCTTTCAAAGCATAAACCTAAATTGAAAGTAATAATTTTAAAATTTGCTTTCTCGGGTGCTCCACTTTGTTTTCTTCAGGTGGAAAAGCATGAGTACTCTATTTTCAGGAGGATGAGGAAAACATTTTATTTCCCTTTCTTCTAGTAGTGTGGCCATTTTTGTTGTTGTTTCTGGTTCCATAAATGGAGAAGCATCTTTACCGTGCCTTGTATCATGCCCAGCAATGTTTTTTTTTTAATTTGAATGTAATTGTTCCTTAGCAAATAATTGCGGTCTGGAATGAATTTTATTGAGCTTGATTGAATTAGGGTTATGTATGAAAATGAGTTAGTTAAAGCTTAATTTATTACCCAGAGAATTGATGAAAACATCAGAAAAGCAGTCATTCATGGGGATTAAATATTATTCCATGTAAGTGGGCAACCTGGTTGCCTTGGAGTCCCTTCAGTACTGACTAGGTAGTTGTGACATCAGGGTGCAAAACATACAGCGTTGGCATAGAAGGGGATTTTGCCATGATGTGACTTTGAATGTTATATTGGACATTAGCTCTAATTGGAAGTCTGCCTCATTGTAAGAAGTAGCACCTCACCTTTTTCAGTATAATTAGCTTTTCAAAACATAGCACCTTAAGGGGCACTGTATAAGCTGTGCCAGAAAGCCAGTTGCTTTTGGAATATTTCAATGGTAGCTTAGGCCAGATCTTTAAGATACTAGCACCTGAAAAGCCTATTTGTGGTAAGAGGCAAATAATAGATATTTAAGAGGTGGCTGTCCGACCTGCCATGATGAAGTTTTTCAGAGGGAATCCTGGGCTGTGCCAGATCAGTGTTAGCGGCCTGGGTGGGACATAAGAGGCTTTGTGAAGGAAGAGGGAACAGGTTTTTAATGAGACAGTGGGAACTAAGTCATGGGGAGTCAGGAATTCAAGGTCCTATGTGGACGGTGAGAGTAGGGGTTGAGATGAAGTCAAAGTGGGACCCAGTGAACACAGAGAAGAGTGAGTTGGCTCAGGTGAAAATCTGCCCTGGCTTTGGTCAAAGGGGACATTCAAATCACTATTTTGCAGGGTTGTGTTCACAGGTTAGGCCATTCGTATGGAAAATCTACTGGAAACAGCGTGGGTTGGGTAAACAGTGATAGCCAGGTTGATAGAGACTCAGATATGGTGCCTACCTGCCTCAGAAAAGGAGCAATGGCCTCTGCCAGCACTTCTGTCTGGGAAAAAGCTACCCCTACAGCTCTCACCCTGATGCCAGACAACTTAGTTCTTTCAGGTATGTCCCTGGTGCCTTTCAAGCTGCTGCCCCAGCAGTGGAGCTCAGAGGGAGTGAGCCCAAGTTAGTCTCCCTGGGGGCCCTTTAAGAGGAATGCCTGGGACTCCAGCAGCCCTACATCTCCCTCAACCTCAATTCTCAGCTGGGTTTTACAGCTAGAACGTATGGGGGACTTCACATCAAGGCTTGGAGGTGAAGAATAAAAATTCGGAGGATTTCTCAGCTGCTGAGGTCCCCCCTGAGGAGCAAGGGGTCCCAGCGCCACACCAGACCCCAAGCCCTGGGTTTCAGTAGCAGGAAGAGATTTCATCTTTATATCCTTAGTTGTAGGACTTATATTCAACTAGATTTCAGGTGGTTGTTCTGTAGTGTATTTGTAATTTTGATGTGGTTGTGGGAGAATGCAAGTACTGCATTCACCTACATGGCCATCTTGACCGGAAGACAATCATTACACATTTTTTACATTTAATGTATATGAGCCAGTTTTTTTCTTATCAAAGTGACTAATTAGGTAAAAACTTTAGCCAAGCCATAAAATAAGTTAATAGTTTTGATAAAGCTGTAAGAGAATAAGTGATGCCTGATTTCTAGTGTGTTACAGTGTACTGATCATAAAGATATTGTTATAATCTGCAGGAGGCAGTAAATTGTCTTAGTTGACTGTGAATTTAGTATAATTGAAGCACCCTAGAAGCTAAGTGAATGTCTCACATAGAAACTGAACTTAATTCTTAAAAATGATAAATTTAGGTATATGTTTATATTTGCAGTATAATGTAAAATGTTTAATTTGTTGGACACCCTTTTGCTACATCACTTGTAGGTAGAATGTAATTTTTTATTACCAGCTTTTCTCTATTTGTGTGTATCTCCCCACTCATTCATTATCTTGCTCGGCTCTTGATCTTTAAAACATATAAAAGATAAATTATAAGATATTAATATCCAAACCATAGTCTATCTGGGTTGGGCCAATCATTTAAAATAATTTAAAAGAGCTAGTCAGGATGCCAGTATAACATCATGTTTTTTCAGGGGATTTGACTGTAATTCTACACTTGATTTAGCCAAAAAGCTGAGAGGTGATTGTCTATAATTCTTTGTAACTTTTATCTGAGAATTCCCCTGGAGTAATTTTAATGACTTTTTTGTTGTTGTTGTTAAAGTTGACAAAAATACTTTAGTCTGCTTTTTCTAAATAGTGTTAACATAGAGATTTTAAATAAATTGGTTTTGATGGTTTGGCCCTTAATTTATTTTGGGGGGATTATTTTGATAAAGGGCAATACGTGTTAGCTTTGTTTGAAAGGCATTCATGGCTCACCATTTTAACAGTTTTCTATGGCTCTTTCACAGAATCCTGCTGCATCACGGAAGCTGGGAGTTCTGATGTTCCATTGACATCACAATGGAAAGTCTTGACCTGACCGGTAAGACCAACACTGCAGATGCCATTTTCTTTACTTACCTCAAGCAGCCAAGGACTGACTACATGCCCTCAGAGCTGATCTCAACTTTTTCTTATCTGATGGATTCACTTTCCTTATTGCTCAGGGAAGTGTGATAATTGTCTTTTTTTTCCTTGTCAATTTCATTATATTTTTTAAAGTGACAATCTCCATCATCAAGTAAGTTAAATTTTTCTTTAAAATCATGAATTTATATAACTTAACTGTTTCAGAGTCTTTAATTTGTTTCTCCACAGTAATGTACTGTTGGTGAAAAATAGATTTATTTAAGCCCTGAATATCTAGAGGTTACTAACATTTCTAAATACCAAATTGGTCTGTTCCCGAAAGCTATTTTTTGTATTGCCTTAGGCTGTCAGTGTCAACGTCTTATGGAAGTGTTCTTTTTTTACCTATTAAAAACAATAGAGGTGTATATAACAACATTATGAAACTGTTTTGAGGATGAAAATCACACAATGAAGAAAAAGTTGAGATTGCAAAATACATACATGTGACAAATTATATCAAATTCTTAAACTCACAAATACTACAACTGTCCTCTTGTAGATAAGTTATTTCAAAGTTGTTTCTTTAGGAAAAAAATTTTAATGGGATAAAATATAGCAATAACATATTAACATTACTTTTAGTAGTGGTTACTTATGCATTCAGTCTTCTCATTTGAGAATAAAATGTATGATTACTTTACTGGTACCTAATACTTGATGGTGAATTGATGATTTACAAGACCAGGGAATTTGATGTAAATTTAAATGAACATATATAGAAAATATAGTGTAGTTCCATTTTCAGGGCATGAACTTATTTTTTAATTATCGTTAATTGAAAATAAATCTTAAATATTTTCTGTTTTTAAGTATTTTTATTTGTTAGCTTATTAAATCTGTCTAGAATATCTGTGTTAGTTTCTTGTTTTAGTAACTATATGATTGATGTGGATTTTAATATGTGAGCATAAATATAAGGCCTCTGACACTTTCCTCTGAACATCATTGTATAGGATTGTACACATAGTAAAAATGTATACAATTTAGCTTGAATGTGTATTTACTGGGATTTTTAATACCCAACAAAATCTTAATGCCAATGAGAAGATTGGGATTTAGTTATTTCCTCTTTTCTGTGCTATCCTTTAAGACAAAATAAGTTAGAAAAACATATTCTGGATTTAAGAATGCCAGTTAGGATACAGTTGATTATGGTTTTACTGAATCAGCAAAATATACTATAGAATATTTGAATATTGATACTTCAATTTCAAATCAGGGAGTTGAGCATAGTGAGGTTTAAAGAAAATTCAATTTTTATCAGTATTCTGAATTTGCTAAACATGAATACATATATGAAAAGTAAAGCAGGACACCATCTGACCTGTTTAGAAAACTAAATTGTTATTCAGCATTAGTACAACAGACTTTACTTTTAATCTTTGATTTCTGAATGTTAATCAGATTATTTCAAGAAAAATACTTTTATTGACTAGCAGAAATTGACAGAAATTCAAGTTGCTGATAACATTTAAGAAGATCAATTATCTAATACCATATGCTTCCAGCTTCCATAGATGTTCATCTTAAATGCAGTATTAATTAAGAAATAGAAAAGATACCATTCAAAATCAGGAATAATTTAGGAAACAAATCCTGGAAAATGTTTTGTGACAAAAGGATGCCAGGGTCCAATAAATCTAGAAGACATGCTATATATCATTCAGCTTAGGCAAAGTTATGTTTCATTATCCAAAGAGTTCCCAAATTTTAGTGATTCATAGCAGCGAACATTTCTCACCGTGTTTATATTTCTGATGAGTCTGCTGCCACTCTGCTCCCTTGTCCTCTTTGTTCCTGGGCCAAAGCTGAAGGAGCAGCCTCTTTGGGATGTACAAATATTGTGACAGAAGGAGAAAGGGATGGTTGTAGAAATGGAGTCTCTTAAAACTGCTGCGTGTAAGTGGCACTACCTCTTATGTTTCCTTAGCCAAGGCATGTCACATGGGCAGCCCTCATGTCATAGGGTAAGAATGGCCTTTTAAGAGAGATGTGATAAGGGAAAGCTGATAGGGGGGCATAGTGTATATTTTTACTATAATATCTAATAATATAAATAATCTCATTTATAACTCTTCTAGAAAGAGTACACAGGTATAATTAGCTTCCAAGAAGTTCTGTAGTAAATGTGTCTGTTTAACATATAAAAGTATTTGACCATGAATCCTTTTGTTATTACATGGAATACTTTGACCTGTGATACACTATCTCTGACAAGTTTTAAGGAATGAGGAATTGATACAATTCAGAGTTTCTTGATGTTTTGAACATGAGGACTTTTTCCACCCTATAGTGAGGGTTTCTTACATTACGGTTTTTATAAGTAGTTTTAAAATGAATTAAAATTACTATAGACTGGACCATCCATAGTTTGCATCCAGGATTAGAGAAGAGAGGAATGATGATACTAATAATAATTTCTTATTTATGTTTAATAGATTATAGAACTTTGACAAATGTCAAATTTGATATTACAAAAATAATGAGAAAATGATGCTTTGCTTTTTCCTGTAGAATATAATAATTTTCCTAGATTATAGTACCCAAATACCTTCACTTAAAATCACTTTCAAGAATTGTTCTAGAAAGAATGCAGACAATTGTATACCGGGAGTTTTCTCAGGTACCCCAGCTGACGTCATATTTATTGTACATTGCTTTATTGGCTCCTAAGTCTTACAGAAAATTACTAGGCACATAGAACTCCTGAGCCATATTGATTTGATTAGCTCCGCAGGTATTATAAAACATTGCTACCAGGCCTGTGTGGTTAAGGTGGTGTAAAAACCTAGGAGTATATAAACAAAGCTTTGTTTGATAGTTTGTAGTTTCTTGCGATTAGGGGAAAGGAACATTCTTAGATATCTATCTGTTGATTCAGAGGAACAGGCATAAATTCTAATTCTAGCACTTTTTAGTTGAAGGAATTTGGGCAATCATTTAACCTCTCTGAAATTTTGTGTTTTCCTCTCAATATGGGATAATGATCTCTACATTGTGAGATTGTGGTGATTAAGTGAGGTAATTAGGCTAAGTGCCTGATACAGTACCTGGCACATGGGAAGCACTTAAGAAATAGTACTTAAAAAAGAAAAAGAAAAATGTGATCAAAATTCAGGAATCTTGAATGCACTATAAAATACCTTTAAAACATCTGGCAATGAGTATGTTTGTGTATTTGTGTATAAACACACACATACATTTATCTCTAAGAGTTTTAAAAAATTGTCCTGAATGCTTAAGAACCTATGTATTCTTCTACAGTTCTACTGAAAATTGAAAGTGGCTTTATCCTGATCAATGAAAGGGTAAATCCTATAGAATATTATCCATCCTATGATTTAATAATTCACTTTTTGCCACTGAGAATGTAGAAGTCCTAAGGAAAGAATGATTGCCCAATGTGGATATATGGCTTCACTTTGAATATTAATGAGGTCAGAATCAAAGAAATAAAATTTTGGATTCTTTAAATTTGTTTTTAACTTTTATTGATTTTAGAGAGGAAGGGAAAGGGAGAGAGAGATAGAAACATCAATGATGAGAGAAAATCATTGATCAGCTGCCTCCTGCACGCCTCCTACTGGGGAACGAACCCGCAACCTGGGCATGTGTCCTTGACCAGAATTGAACCTGGGACCTTTTAGTCCTCAGGCCGACACTCTATCCACTGAGCCAGACCAGCTAGGGCAAATTTTATATTCTTGAGACAAGGTACAAGAACGGGAGATAGCGCCACGAAAATTTTTTTTACCATATAGAGCAAATATTGGGCTTCAAAATTCAGCATTTCTATTTCAAGGTCTTTTTGTTACTATTTTCTAATGAGGGTTAAATTATTTAGACTCCTTTGAGGACTTTTCTATAGACTTTGCCTGATCGTACTGTCAATCAGGCGCAGCATGGTGATATCTCTTATGGTGGAAAGCTTTATGCTGTTTCTAAAATGACAAACTCATTTGTTTAATTTCACACATATATGAAATTTTGGGGGGTGAATTATTCTTCAAGTTGGTCCAATCCCTTCTCTCTCTCTCTCTCTTTAAAAAAATATTTTAATGATTGTTTACAGAGAGGAAGGGAGAGGGAGAGAGTTGGAAACATCGATGAGAGAGAAACATCGATCAGCTGCCTCCTGCACACCCCCTACTGGGGATGTGCCTGCAACCAAGGTACATGCCCTGACCGGAATCGAACCTGGGATCCTTCAGTCCACAGGCCAACGCTCTGTCCACTGAGCCAAACCAGTTAGGGCCAATCCCTTCTATTTTATAAATGGACTAGAGGCCCAGTGCACGAATTTGTGCATGGGTGGGGTCTGACTGGCCCTGCCCCAATCGTGGCGGATGAGGGCTGGGCCTGTTGGGAGGAGGAGAAGGGGGGAGGTTGGCTTGCCAGCCCACCCTGATTGGGGCCATCAGGGCCGAGACGGCTGGGTGGAGGGGACGAGGGCGATTGGCCGGTGGGCTCTGCCCCTGAATGGGGTGGGGTGCCGATTGGAGGTCAGTGGCCGAGGGAGGGGCCATGGGAGGTTGGCTGGCCAGCCACACCCCTGATTGGTGTGTGTGGGGGCGATCAGGGGCAGAGCTGGCTGTGGGGAGGGACTGCGGGCTGATAGGGATGTTGGGGGCTGTTCGGGGGTGGGGCCAGCCATGGGGAGGGGCTGTGGGCAGTGGCCCGGCTGGCCCTGCCCCCGAATGGGGTGGTCCAGGCCGATCGGGTGTGGAGCCTGCTGGGGGGGAAGGGCTGCGGGGTGGTTGGCTGGCAGTCCTGCCCTTGATCGGGTTGGGAGAGGCCAATCAAGGGTGGGGCTGGCTGCGGGGAGGGGACATGTGAGATTGGCCGGCTGGCCCCACCCCCTAATCTGGCTGGTTCGCTGGCCACAGTGGGCGTCATAGTGACAGGTTGTTC